AACCTCAAACAGAACATGGCCTTTCTTTTCCGCACTCACACTTTTACATCCATTGCCATTTAAAAATTGTAGGCCTCACAAAAACTGCGATTTTGATAGTGAAACTTTCGGGCTGCCGATACCTCTTCGGTCATAAAAGTCTGGACAAAAGTGTTGCGTGACAGTATTCACAAGCTTCCCAATCTAACCATTTGAGCGACGTCCTTTTTTAATGTTCTTGCCAGAAGTAGCATATTATGCTACTAACAATCCAAATCATGTTTTTTCTTCTTTTTTTCCTAGGTTTTCTTAAAGTGTGCTTGAATACAATACTAAAAAAGTCCAAAAATATCGTTTTTCACGTCAACTTTCCCTTGTTGCCTTGTATGTGCCTTTGATTGACTTCCGGCTTCAATCTCTAGCTATTTCACCGCGTTATAACCTATCAGGCGGCTGTCTTTCCTCTCGTATATGCAAGTTCCATTTTTTTGGATAACAGTTTTCGTAACATTCTGCAATTATCTTTCAGTATATATATTTTTTCTTATCTGAACATGGTTATTCGATCGTCAAACTCTTGTTTCAGTCTGTTTATATACAGAGCAACCCCGCCTTGCGACCACCCCGTCTATACGACCACCTTTTGCCTCAGCTCACCTCCCATGGTCTTTCCACCCAGACGTGAAAATCTCCGACTCATTTTATTATTTTGAAGACCTCTTTAATGCGATTACCTCGTTATCACGACCAGGATTTTATGGCCCAACGCTGGTCGCATCAACGGGGTTCAACTGTATTTTTTTAATACAGTTTTCCACATTGTAGAACAAAAAACAAAAAAAATGTGCGTCAGCTGGACTATGGAAATTGAGGTAAAGAATTAAAATTTAGGCCCCGCTTATATGAAGAAAATTTGTCTCGAGCAGAAGGGTCACCCGCCTATCCGAGCTTCCCTTAATAGGGAGAGGGCTTGATCTCAGGCTAAGCTTCCCTGGAAGAGGCAACGTTTCACACATTTCCTTACTGAAAACATGGCGAACCGTTTAAATTACAAGTAGTTTGCTCGGCTAGAAGGGTGACCCACTTTGTCCAGTCACCCTTTTGTAATGGTAGGGTCAGCCTCCTAGCCGGACCAACGTTTCTCCGTAGGCACTTTACGCGCTTTCCACAGAACAAAAATTCCTGTTTGAACTTTCGAAAAAACCACGTGCCCAGTGGAAGGTACATTCCAGTTGCAGAGACCAAACTAAAGCCACTGCGAGTTTGGTTACCGTGTTTGTAAGCAGGATACAGATCATTGGTCCTAGGGAAAATAATTTTGTCAAATGGAAGGAGACATTTCGGTCCGACCGTCTAGATCAAATCCGATCCGTATCGGTAAAGGGCTCGCATAGCTAAGGCGAGACAATTAGAGCACGCGCGAAGGCCGGTTGGGGTCAATGTTTTTTTTCTCTCGGCTAGGAGGTTGACTCTCCTACACGAGACATTTTCTCCACATAAAAGGAATTAAAACTTTCGGATACGAAACTTGTAATAGAGAAGGAATCAGAAAAAATTTCAAAATTCTCGAAAAAAATATTATTGAAGCCCTTGTAATTTCGATCGAAAAGACTACTCAAGTTGCCCTGTGGATGACCGAACAGTTGTTATAATTATATGTTGCCGCAAAGAACTTAGTGATTTAGATAGCCTAAAAGGGTTTTCAATGCATTTAGGAGGAAACTGTCGTTGGGTGCTCCTGTCAACTATCGCCTAACGCTACCACTACTTTCTTACCCACATGTTTTTTTTTTCAGTTTTTTTTTTCAGTTTTACTCTCGGTCATTTGCCATTTTCTGAGTGTGCGCTTTGGTGCCGGTCTTGAGACTGAAACTTGGTGGCTCGTCAGAAATTCATGATCAGAACTCTTGAAAAGAAAGTCTCCGACCATAACTTTCTCTGGCAGTCATCAATGAAACGGATATTGAGGCTGAATCCGCTTCTGGGTCCGTTCAATTCTCGAAAGGTCCCGATAATTAACGGGCCCCTAAAGCTGTTGTTGTTTACATGCAAGATAGAATTTCAATCGTTTTGCATCTAACATGATAAAACTATCAGTTAATGAAAAAATGAAGTATTTTGCTATCCAGGACCCGCGCTCCTCTTATTCCTTTTCTTTCGATTTGAATATTTGATTTCGGGCCCGAAAAGTTATAGGGACTTTGGACAAACGGGCCCCTGGTCCGTTGTGAAAGGCTGCAAGACGGAATTTACTGGAAAAGTAAACTTAATGCTTTTGCCTAAACAGTGTCCTTTTAACGTGAATTTGAAGACGTCAGGGCCTATAAGCCCATTGGTAAACACACTGGATTCCAGCTTTCTAACTTGCTGTATCTGCGGTATATCTTCTTAGTGTCAGATTTTAAAACTTGTTTGAGTAGCCGAGCATGCTGTAAGGAGGAAATTGTCTGATATACTTTGACATATCCTTTGGTAAAGGGATGAGAGACGAACAGGTCAACGTTCTAGACCCCAAGTTTCTTTCATTGTTTATATTCAATACTAGAAACTGAAACTCATGCCTTAAGTCTTCACACTCAAGGAGAGGTTTGTAGACTTGAAAATAGCGCTACTTCGTCTACCACTCCACAAGGCCCTGCCTGGATAGCATTTCCCCAATTACTTTGCAATATTTTCTTAGTTGCGTGTGCTAATGCAAGTTTTTTAATGCTGGTTAGCCTGTGCAAACATTTGAAAGTCTAGAGCGAATTGCTTACCTAACATCCTTGAGCGAGAGTTACAGCGTAACCCTTTCGACGGATTCTTCTATCCCCTCAACGGCCTTTCCATCGGAGTCTTACTAGGTAGTACCCAAGAAAGATTCAGAGACACCCTTCCCCAAAATATACATATGAAATAACTTGATTCTTTTAATGCGATTCTTCACTCAAAACAAAAAACGCTTCCGAGATTATTTATCCAGGTTGTCCAAAGTTTAAAACCTACTCAGTGTTCGTGTGTACTGGCAGGGTGTATGATTTTGATGTTTTCCAAATTCCTTAACAATCAATGCTTTTATCACACGCGCAGGATTCCGAAAAACTGACCACCACTTTACACTTTTAAATCAAGTGCTGTTGGCAGCAAGACTACGCAACCTTTCAGTTATTGTATAATTGAACAAATAACTTTGGAAACATCAAAGAAATGTATAAACAATCTTGTTTTCTGCTCATTCTTATAGTTCGAAGGATGGTGTTCTTTGTCACGCAACACCAGTCCTTGTCTTCTCCCACTTCCTCCCTGTATGTTGTAACTGATTCTATTAAATGGTAAGAACATCTTTCAAATCGTCGAAAATGTCTTAAAAACATATTTTTCTCGTGAAATATTTTGTTCAACCACCTTAAGAAATTAGATCATAACGCTGGCCCATCTCCAATGACCTCTCGTTAGAGGTCAAATTACAAAATGCCTTAGCGCCAGCAGAATTTTGGAGCTCGAGAGTAGAAAAAGTAAAACAAGTG